GAGTTCTATTCATCTCGAAGCTCAGGCCACTCAGGTAAGTGTCGTGCACCTACGGGATGCCCATGTATGTGTGCATGGTATTGATTGTCCTGTTGAGGTTATTCTGGGTTTCTTTCCTACTCCTTTGTGGTCTTCCTACTCCTCTGTGGTCTTGATTGTGTGATTGAATGTGTGTGAACTACCTACTCACCTGATGGATGGAGAAACAAAGTATCTTGATTTGAATGTTGATTCCTTCTACAGTGCTTTGTCTTTTCATCTCTGAACGGCTGTAGTCTTTAGGTTGTGCCGGAAGTTGAAATTCGTTTTCAAAATGGTAGAGGCACCCCTCTCGGTTGGGACTCGGTCACGACCTACATGGGACCCCTGGGGACCAGTGGGACCGGGCCCAAACAAGAAGAACCCTTGGACCCGAATCTGTTAGACATTAGTCCATTCTCTTCCTGACTGAGATCCGGCGTTTATTCTTGTTGGTTAGGACACCCACTGCCGAGGGGATCTCCGCTGAGACGTTTCGCATGCTTTTGATCGCACCGTCTGTGGCTAGACTCGCACCCTATACACCACTCAATTCTCAAATGTTGCATTAGTCACTCGTTGTCTGATTTCTTGAGCGGTCACGGAGCTGGTCAAACGGGACTCGAGAGGACCTCGTATGCAGTCTGATCAGACTAGGTCGCTGGATAAGACCTCTCCTGTTAATTTGTTTTCTTTTTGTGGTTTGCTGCTCTCTAGTCCAAATGTAATGCCCCTCGAGCTAGGAGTACTACCTTCTCTTCTTTGAACTTTTCAGTCCGTTTCTTTTCCTGAGTTCATATTTTGATGCCCGTAGAGACTCGCGGACAAAAGGAAGAGAGAGAGAGAAGAGAGAGTGAAAGCCCCCACCTTGAGGGACTTGCGGAATGGGTGATGTAAAAGCTCTTCTGGCCTTAAAGGCCCAACTGGATGCAGCCGTAGAGGACGATAAACCATTGTTCCAAACTCTCTACGAGAAGGCACTGGCAAGGGAAGAAAAAGCCGAAGAGGAAAAGCAAAAAACCGTTGTTGCATACCATGAGGCTGTCCTCAAAACAGTCTCCTCTTTGCCTGACACTGAGGTCAAGAAGGAGATAGTCGCATATGTAAGTGCTCTTATAGATTGTCACCTACTCAATGACATCCCTGAGTAGATCACCAAACTCTCGGCAGAGGTAAGTGAGTTGAGGGCAGAAGTGGCCGAAATGACCAAAGAGCACAAGGATCTATGCGGCAGATGACAAATCTGCAGAAGGACTAGGCTCCTAATCCTCTCCCTCTACCTCCTGCCTCCAATGCTGCTAGCCAAACTGTCCTCGCTCCTCTCCATTTCTTCTCAAAGTGTGGTTCCATCGGGACCTGCAGTAGGTGCAGACCTTGCCGCCACTACGGCAAGTGACGACGCAGGAAATTCTTCAACTGCTGCAGCATCGAGTTCAGAAACAGCAATCACTGGTGCTGGCTACAACAGTCCCTATGTGGACAGGAAGGCGGTTCCCATACCGTCTAAGTACGACGGAAAAGAAGACGTTGAGTCCTGGATCAGCTCCATGAGAGCTTACTTCGAGGTGTTGGGAACTCAACCGGTGAGCCAGTCCTTGATTATGGGGACCAACGTAGAGCCCTCTGTACGAGACTTCTTGGAAGTCCAAGCTACGCAAGCTGGGTACACTAAGATCAATCTGACACAAAGCTCAAAGCCACACCCATAGCCACACTTGAGGAGATCCTTATCAAACAATTTAAGGATCCACATGCTGCTGCAAAAACCTGAAAGAGACTTGATGATCTGAAGTGCAGCAAGTGAACGGGCACCATGCATAATTTGCAGTTATTTGTCAACAAACTTTTTGCTACTCTAGGACTGGAAATGACTGCACAATCATGCTTGGATGTTGTGAAAGGAACGGTTCCCACTACCTACATGCATCCCCTAGGCAAAGAACTTATTGGTTACACGGACTGGCTTTCCCTCATGCAGGATGTCGTCAACCTTGAGGCACAAGACCTCATTACCACAACAGGCAACGAAAAGCCTACTGGCGGCAGGCGGTTCAGAGGCAGCGACCGTTTTGTTGTGCATGATATGTTGGAGGCCGATGAGGAGGCCTATGCAGACGACGCCACTCTTGGTGACGACCAAGAACAAGACCCTGACACGACCTACTCTTCAGCCCATGACTCTTATGTGAATAATGAAGAGGAAAATTTAAAGGCCTTTAAGAAGACTGCCAGCGTAAAGGGACCCGAACCAGAATTGAGGGAAGAACTATGTCCAACTTCCCAAGGGAGTCAAAATCCCAGCGAAACCGGAGGATGCAGCCACTAAACCATGGGTTGACCTCCGGATCACTGCAAATGATTGGAGGGTTAGGCTCAAGAAGGGGGTATGCCTGCAATGCCAAAAACTGAACCATAAAGTACAAGAATGTTATAGGCAGTGGGGAAACCAGAACCGGGCGTAGAGTTGACTTCAACATCCTTTACGGCAAGGGAGACTGAATCCGATGCAAATCAGCAATCCTCCCTTGAAGTGCAATCATCTGCTGATTCCAAGGCTGAAGTGTGTCATGCTTTGTATGTTGAGCCTTGGGAGGACTCTGAGACGGTTGACGTCCACTACCACTTGGAGCATTGGGCGGAGATGAAACATCAGCGTGCCCAAGGCACAGTGAAGTTGATCTTCTTCAAACTTCTTGTTAACCACCGCTATCTCCGTGTCGTGATTGATTGTGGTGCAACTACTAACTTTATGTCACCACGAGGGGTACGCAAAGTGGGTTTGGGAATGAAGCAAGTGGCTTTGCAGAACCCTTGCCAGACCCAAGTAGGCAACAAGGAAGTCGTCTCCTCTAAGTATGCAGTCAAAGGTGTGTGCACTACCTTTGACAATAACAAAACCGTCACACACGCTTTGAACTTCTATTTCCTTGACAAGTGTCCCTTCGACGATGTCCTTGGCTTGGGATGGCTGCAGTCCCAATGCGAATGGACCAAGTGGAAGGAGTCACTTTTCATGGTCAAAGATGCTCAAGGGAACGAGCTTCCCGTCCTCTTGGATGAGAAGCACGAGTCCCCAGTGACTTTTATGAATGCCATGCAGTTTTGCAAGAAATGGCACACGCACAAAGAGGATGAATAGTTGTATGTTGCCTTTGTTCGCCCTACTCATGTGCCATCTACTTTTGCGGCTAGTACCAATACTACTTCATCTAGTGATTCTACTTTTAGACCTTCTACTTCTTTACCTACCCCTAATCTAAATGATTCTACTTCAGATCCGGTTGCCTCCATTCACAACCTGCGACCTGATCTAGGTGACCCTTTTGCTGACCCTTCACCCCCACCGGTCCTAATTAACAACCAAAACCTACTTGATCGGTTCCCATAAGTTCTGGCCGAACACGTGGAGTTCCCTCGCGATCGGTCCGACACACCATCGAGTTGGTTGAAGGTGTTGTTCCTCCAAAGGGCTGCGTATACCGAATGGGATCCGATGAGTTGGAGGAACTCCGGCGACAGATTGATGAAATGATTGACAAGGGTTGGATCAAGCCTAGTGGGTCTGAATTTGGTGCCCCTATTTTGTTTGTCCCGAAGAAAGGAGGCAAGCTCCACATGTGTATTGACTATCGCGGTCTAAACCGCATCACAAGAAAGAACGCCTGTCCATTGCCTTGCGTAGATGAATTGCTTGGGTGCAAGGTCTTCTCCAAGATCGACCTCAAGTCTGGCTATCACCAGATTGAAGTCCATCTTGCGGACCAGCATAAGACTGGGTTCAAAATGCGCAATGGGCTTTATGAGTTTACCATAATGCCCTTCGGTCTCACGAACGCACCGACCACCTTTCAACGCCTCATGGACAAGGTCCTCCACGAACAAATTGGTCGGTTCGTGGTCGTATACCGTGATGATATCCTAATCTTCAGCAAATCCATGGAGGAACACATGAAGCACCTTGGAAAAGTGTTCATCATCCTCAAGAAGACGCAACTCCATCTCAACTTAGAGAAATCTGAGTGTGGGAGGGATAGCGTTGTCTATCTTGGGCATCAGTTGTCTGCTGCAGGCCTAGAGCCTGAGGCAACCAAGGTTAAGGTCATACGCAATTGGCCTCAGCCCGCGAACATCCGCGAACTGCGCTCTTTCCTTGGTCTCGCGTCGTACTACCGGAAGTTTGTGCCCCGCTTCTCTATTGTTGCTCACCCGTTGTCCCGGTTAACAAGTAAGAATGTTCCTTATGCTTGGGATACCGCATGCGAGGACGCCTTTCAAGCTTTGAGAGAAGCTCTGGTAAGTTACCCTGTACTCCGCATTGCAGATTCCAAACAAACATTCGTAGTTACTACGGATGCAAGCCAGTATGGAATTGGCGCAGTGTTGCAGCAAGATGACGGCGATGGACTACGACCGCTCGAATACTACAGCAAATGCATGCCCAACTTCCACCTACATGCGCGAGCTTTATGCTTTGCGTATGGCTTTGGACCATTGGAAGCACTATCTTTTGGGACGCCACTTCAAAGTGTTCTCGGATCATGAGACTCTGAAGTGGATCAAAGAGCAAACTACCCTGTCCCCTACCTTACTTCGCTAGTTCCATGAAATTGACATTTTCGACTTTGAGTTAAGGCACAAAAAGGGTTGTTATAATCGAGTTATTGATGCATTGTCTCGCCACCCCGAGTACATGACTTGCCTTGTAAATTCCTACGACCTCCGGAAGAAACTGAAGGAGGAACTCGTAGAGCACACTGCCAAGGATCCAGATCTTAGTCCCGTCCTTCAGCAGTTGTGGGCTACGGGAACCATGACCGTTTGTGTGTGCCCAACCATGAGCCTCTCCGCACGCACTTTCTAAACTTGGCTCATGGCCGGAGTGGATACTTCGGCATGGCAAAGACATACGGAAACCTATTGAGACAGTTTGATTGGCCTGACATGAAAGGATCTGCTGAAACGTTTGTGGTTGAATATCAAGTCTATCAACGAACCAAAGCATGTAGACAAAAGCCAATGGGGCTACTTACACCCCTTCCCATTCCCGATGGTCCCGGGGAGTCCGTCTCTATCGACTTCACCAACATGGGAAATGTAAGTAAGAACGGTTACTCACAAGTCATGGTGATTGTTGACCGCTTCTTTAAATTTCTTAATCTGATTCCTTTGCCATCTCATGCTCCAATTGAATTGGTGATGAGTGAGTTCAAACAAAAGTACATTTTGCAGTTCGGAACCCCGAAAACTCTCGTGAGTGATCAAGACCCGCGCTTCATCAGTACTGAATGGAAAGACTTCACGTCCCAACTCCCTGGCCTCAAGCTATGCATGACATCTGGCCGACAACCCGAAGCCAACGGTTTGGCTGAGGAAATCAACCAGACTGTGTTCCAACTTCTCCGCGCTTTAATCATTTCGGATCAGGAAACATGGGATGAAGAGTTCTATTCCGTCGGGGGGTTGTACAACAACTCCATCCACTCTGCTACCGGCATGACACCAAACAGGCTGCATTACGGTTGGCAGATTCGTAATCCGCTCTCCTACCTATTCCCTTAGCAGCAGCTGGTTTAACACCCGGCAGGCCTGGCTTCAGGGCCAAGTACGATCGCTTGCTCAAAGTTGCCATTGCAACAATGACCAAGCGACAACACGCCATGATCCATCATGCAAACAAGAAGCGTCGACCTTCAGATATTGAGGTGGGAAGTTATGTCTGGGTCAAGATGTCTGAATTTTCAGAAGAATAGGGAGTCTCACGTAAACTTCTCCCAGTCTATTATGGTCCGTGGGAAGTTCTGGATGTGATTGGCGAAGATAGCTTCTACCCTTAACATCATCATCATTATCATCATCATCATCATCATCATCATCATCATCTTCATCATCATCAGCAGCATTGTTGACATCATCATCATTATGAGCATCATCATTGGTGTGTCTTCATCATCATCATCATCATCATCATTGGTGTGTCTTCATCATCATCATCATCATCAGCAGCAGCAGCATTAGCATCATCATCATCATCATCATCATCATTATCGACATCATCAACATCATTATCATCATCATTATTATGATGATGATTAGTATCATCATTATTGGTTTGTTATCAGTAGAGTTTGCTCTACAAGGCATCGTTCGCCTTTCGCATCAGCAGGTCCTTCGTCATCAACAAAATCCAAGCGAATGACATTTTGGTGAGGGGGAGGGGGAGAGCCCAGCCCCGCAGGGGTTTCATTAGGCGGGTGGTGAAATCCTGGAGGAGGTACGGGCAGATTGTGAGGAATACTCTTTTATGGGGCTGGGCATCAAATCCTAGTGGGGGCAGATTAGGGTAAAGGGCTAGATAGGGTAATGGAGAGAATGGAGGAAGGAAGGGAGAGAGGGGATTTTTTCTGAATCATCTCATCATCAAAATCATCATCATCATCGTCATCCATGTTATATCATGCTTTCTGGTGTGCTGTAATTCTCGGCTGTATCTGGCCTCCTTCCTTAATCAGGATATAGGATTTTAGAGATGGTCGAATCTGGACCGATATCTACAGAGTTGCTTTGTCTTTGCCCTTGGTTTGGCGATGCCAGAACGACGCTGGTCGGAGTTGGGGCGTTGCCCTGTAACCTGTAATTAGCAGGAGTGTGAGGCCTTGTAGAGAGATCTGGGGATTTGCCGAGGGAGGAAGGCAATCCAGTGGCGAACCGGGGGGGCTGCCTTGACAACCTATCGGGCCAGGGATAGTCTAGGTGGCGAGAACAGGTCAGCTATGGTAGACATTGGTTAAGGAGGGTATTGTCTCTGAGATGTAATGTCCTGGTTCAGGGAGGGTTGGGAGGGTTCGGAGATTAGGAGGCCAAAAATGTTGTTATAACTTCTATATACTAATCATCATATTCATTATCATCACTATCACATCATCATCATCATCATCATCATCACATCATTAGTATCATCATCTGATTATTGTTATATTAAGTTTTTTGGTGTTCTGAAATTTTGGTTGCATCTAGTATTCTTCCACATTCGGGATATAGGACTTCAGAGATGGTTGAACCTGGACTAATATCTTCTGAGTTGCTCTGTTCTGTGCCCTTGGTTTGCCGATGATAGAACGACACTGGCCGGAGTTGTGGCGTTGCCCTGTAACCTGTAAATGGCAGGAGTGTGAGGCCTTGTAGAGAGATCTGGGGTTTGCTGAGGGTGGAAGGCATTCCAATGGTGAACCGGGGGGGGGCTGCAAGGAGGCGAGAAGAGATCAGCTATGGTTGATGTTGGTTAGGTTGGTTTTGTCTCTGAGGCACAGTGTCCTGGTACATAATCTTATATATATTTTCATATATTTGAATTATCATTCTCATTAGCATCATTATCTATGGTATCATCAGTATCATCATAGTCATCATCATAACCATTTGAGGGACGCTGAGCCCGGTTCTCAGCAGTTTCGGTTCGATCACTCCGGGCAGACTGTGAGGACCGCAGCCTCAATCTTATTATTGGTAATATCAGCCTTGGGCACCGGGCCCAGTTAAAAAAAAAAAGAAAAAAAGAAAAAAAAAGAAAAAGACGTAGTTGTTGTGCCACCTCTTCTGCACACATATCCCGTGTTTCATGCATCAAAACTGTATCTCCACCATGATGCTAAGTCGTTCGATTACCGTGAAGACATGATCCCTCGTGCAATCAATGGCACACATGAGATAGACATAATTAAACAGCACGTAGGGAAGGGACACAACAGACAGTACCAGGTTCATTTGATGTACCACCCGTTGGATGATCTATACTGGATTTCCAAGTAGGAACTGCTCCGCAGCGCACCGCGCGTTGTTAAAGCCTACGAGCGACAAATCTCCTCTAATGATGCACCTAAAACCTCTGCCAAGCTCACTGCGACAGAGTATTCTCGAAATCTTTTTGCCTTGTTTGCCTACGATGCGTTTGTCGAGGACTCAGAATGAGTTACTCGCTTGAAGCGACCTCGCTCTTCAGGGGGGAGTAGTGTGATGACCTGACCAATCATGGACTGAAACACACAGCTGATTTATGAGTTTTGCTCATGGACCGAACGCCTTGCTGAGTTTCCCGCTTGCCACTAAGTCTGTTTGTGTGCACGCTTGCTGGACTGCATGTCTGTCTGAGTGCTGGTTGGCTTGAGTGTGTGTGTGGCCCCGTAAGGGCACTTGTTCGTTCGCTGGGCCCTCAGGGCCGGTACTTACTGTGGCCGTGGCATTGAGGATTGCAGCGGGGGAAAACACTCAAGTGGCGGGGAAAGAGGCCCGCAACACTTGAAGCAGCGGGGAAACACTCCAGTAGCAGGTAGGCCGGTACCACACCCTGAAGCGGTAGATGTGCCGGGTACTGGAGTCCGAGCAGAAGAAGGCAAAAGTGGCATTTTTAGAGGCCCTGTAGTTGTAGGCTAGGTCTAGGTGGGTACCAGTCTGAGTCTAGGGCCTGTACGAGCAATATCAGAGTCTGCAATGATGTTTCCCTCCGAAAGGGAAGAGGTACCGGTTGCTTGGGAGGCCGAGCGGCCTGGAAGTCACCGCCCGAGAGGCAAGCAGGCCGCTATATCTCCAGGGCCGGGCGAAAAGCCCAGCCTCATTGTCGGTGTGCAAGTTTGGCAACACACTGGTTGGAGTGCTGGCTGGAGCAGCACTAGCCTGGAGCAGCGCTGCTGGGGAAGAAGCAAGGACTTGGAGGAGGAAGAAGGACAGGAAGGGGGAGGAGCACCAGAGGTACTTACCTGGCTATGGTGGCAGCAGTCTTCATCGCCTTGGTGGGCGCTGCAGCAAGGAGACCCCAGCTGGGGAGAGCTACACCACGAAGCTTCGAGGCAGAGTCAGGCATGGCGGCCTGAGCTAGAGCAGCCATAGCTGCTTTGCGTTGTCCTTTGCACAGCAGGGCAAGGGCCAAGCAGTCCGCCATAGGCTTGGCCTATGAGAGTGAAGAGTGAGGGAGGCGACCATGGATATGGTCGACCTCAAATGATACCTGCAGTAGAAGTGGGATTCGGACTTTGGTTCTGGTTCAACTATTCAACATTGTATTATTATTTCT